GTGCTTTACAAATTCCCCCCGGACGCTATTTTTAGCACAAAAAGGAGGACATGTCCGGGTAAATCCGGACGAATGGTAACCCTATTTTAAGAACAGGTTAGACAAATACCTGTCAGGAATGTTCTAGTTATTACTTAGTCTTGCCTTGAGTGCAGGGGACTGGACTAAATGACCTATTGAGGTTTCTTCCAGTTCTACACTTCTATAATTCACTTTTATGATGGATTTTAGGGAGTTTATTTTACAGCAGGTGTTATAGAACAAAATAACACTCTCAACATATTCAGGTTCAACTGAAGTAGCATCAGGCTTTATTCTGAGAAAAATACCTATTGAGGTTCAGAGCCAGGAAGCCATTGCATTGAGCAGATATGGACTGGTACTCACTGAGTTCTTAGATAGCCAATGTAGGGGGCTTCTGGTGGGCAACGACCAATAGGGCATTAGTTATGCTCATTTAACTAGAAGCCCTGCACAGGTTGCATGAGTTCCTTACAGTAGGAAGAAGCAATAAGATTTTTTAATACCTACTTCTTCATCAGAGCTAAAATAGCTCATTTGTTCATTAATACTGTATATCAGTGGTCACCAACCGGTCGATCGCGATCAACCGGTTGATCCTAGAGTATCTCCTACACCCAACACCGTGTTCAAGCCCGACCCCCCTGCCAGAGCCAGTGCCCCATACCCCCTCCTGCACCTCTGCCCCAGCCCTGACCCCCTCCCAGAGCCAGCATCCTGTACCCCCTCTTGCACCCAAACACCCTCCCAGAGCTTGCACCCCTCATCTCCTCCTGCACCCCAACCCCTTGCCCCAGGCTCAGTCCAGAGCCCCCTCCCATACTGCAAACCCTCGGCCCCACCCCAGAGCCCGCACCCCAGCCCGAATCCCTACCCCAGCCCGGTGAAAGTGAATGAGGGTGGGGGAGAGCGAGTGATGGAGGGCGGAGGTATGGAGTGAGTAGAGCAGGGATTTGGGGAAGGGGCAGGGCCTTGGGGAAGGGGAAGGGTACATCCTGGGTTGCCCTTAAATTCAAAAAGTGATCTTGGGTGTAAAAAGGTTGGAGACCACTGCTGTAGTAATTGATTAGAAATAGATTTAACTACTTTTTAAAGTAATTTTACAGCTTGATTCTGCAGCCCTTACTCACTTTGATGAGCATTTACTCATGAGTAAGACTGTAAGAAATTTGTGGGTTTTTGGTTCAAAAGTTGTAGCCAGTTTGTTAAAGTTGTGGTTCAAAGCATGCAGTCTATTTCCCAAAACATGGCAACAGAAGAGACACTATATGTCCTGTTTGGCTCTCAAAGACAAGCATGACAGAGAGGTGGCTGGGCCAAGTTTGAATTGCATTACAACCCTGTGTGCCAGGTCACAATGCCACTCACTCAAATATAGCGCATCCACTCCTCCATCATGTCAGCCCAAATGTGAGTGAGTGGCCCAAATTTGCAGCAATTATAAAAAGCTGCAGATTCCACAACAAAATCTTGGCTGGGATTTTCTTAGCACTGGAACAAATTGCCTAGGGTGGTGGTGGAATCTCCATCTTTGGAGGTTTTTAAGAAAAGGTTAGATAAATACCTGACAAGAATGGTCTAGTTCAGTGGTTCTCAAAAAAAAATGTTCGCAGACCACTTGAAAATTGCTGAGGGTCTCGGTAGACCACTTAATGATCTTTCCAAATGTTGTTTGTACCATTAGCTAACTATTGTAAAGTATTTTGGATAAAAGTGCTACATAAAAAAAACTTTATAATAATTAATATTTTTTGTTCTACAAATAAAAGCACACAACTCATATTTTAATATCAGTATCTTATCTTTCTAATGTGATGGATGTGCCCTCTCTCTCCCGCCGCGGCAGCCCCCAAGCTGGGGCTGGGAAGGAGGGGGGGTCTCTCTCTCACCACAGCAGCCACAGAGCTGAGGCTGGGAAGAAGGGGGGTCTCTCCCCAGCAGCCGCAGCCCTGGAGCTGGGCAAAGTCGCCTCTTTCTCTGGCCACCCCAGCCCTGCACATCCCAAAGTCCCCTCACCCCCTCTTCTCACCCCACTGCCCCCTCCCACCTACCGCCTATTCCCCTCAAGGCCACTACCTCACCTTACATGTACATCTTTTCCAGGGTCCAGGCACCTAATTAGTGGAGCTATGTCTGCGTGGTTCCACTAATTAAGAGGGCGGCCCTTCATTCTCTTGTGTGTGGTCTCCCAGGCGCACACCTTAGAGGGAACTATTGCGGACCACCTGAATGGAGCTCGCGGACCACAGTTTGAGAACCTCTGGTCTAATTATTACGTCGTCCTGTCTTGAGTGAAGGGGACTAGACTAGACGACCTATTGAGGTCCCTTCCAATCCTACTCTTCTACAATTTTTGTCTTCTATACAATATGATTTAAACTTTCTACAAGAACACCACCAAATATTTGGATTTTCACTTTTTGCTACAGTAGTTAGAGAGCAGACTCACCTTTTTAGCAGGAGAACTTGGTTTAAAGGGGTGTGCAACTGGCTTTTCTGGGGTTGGTTTCTTAGCTGGTGCCAAAGGTTTATCATCATAATATGGATTTATGTCAAAATACTCCCGAGGATAGAGATTTAACTTGAAAGGCCCTCCTTTAACCAAACGCAGATGGTCTTCATGCACCTTCTGTAAAATAAGTAGTTTTAAAGGTATCACCTTGGGCATTTTTACCTCAGATTATTCTGATTAGAAAAAAAATAAAAAGAGATTTAAATTCAGTCTTGAAAAAAACTTACTTTTAGCAATGTATTTAATGTAATTTCCTCTGTTAATGTTAATTCTGGCTTCCACATATACATTAGGCACAACATAATGCATAACGAAACAATCCACTGAGCACAACAAATGCTAGGAAACTATGACACACTTAAAGAAGAATTTAAGGACTTCTTAAAATAAGTAAATTTAAAAACTCTTTAAGATCTCAAATTAATTAATGGAGACATGGTACATGTATGGACTTTAACATTACAAATACAGTACAACCTTGCTAATTCATGCTAATGATGGGGAGCAAATTTTCACTGCTTAATGAATAAGAAACAAATGTTGCCCTCCTCCGGAGGACAGAGGTACCTGTGGCAACCAAAACAATGTGGTTCTACTGCATGAGGAGAAGGCAGGATTTGGGGAGTTATACAATTGGTAGTACACCTTTTTTTAATTTAAATTTAGAGCTTGCAAAATGTGCCAGATTGACAACCCGGGAGAATTAGGTCCTTTATTTATCCTCCAGCTTCACCACAATGACCGTCTATGGGTTGACTTGTAGAGACCAACCACCTCTAAAGCCAAGAGGATACTTCATTCTCTAAGTCCATTCAGTGTCTGATACTTCTCTTTTGTGTTTTATTTGAAGAGCTGAGCAGAGAACTTGTGTGGAGTCCACCATCGTGTGGTAACTGTGTGAAACTTAGGTCTTGTCTTCACTACTATGCTGTATCGGTGCAGCTGCATCTGGTGAAGATGTGCTTCAACAACAGGAGAGCGCTCCCCCATTGATGTAATTATTCCACCTCAACAAGAGGTGGAAGTTATGTCAGCGGGAGAGTGTCTCCCATCAACATAGCCCGGTATAGACACTACTTTAAGTCGATGTAACTTATGTCGCTGAGGAGGGGAGGGATAGCTCAGTGGTTTGAGCATTGGCCTGCTAAACCCAGAGTTGTGAGTTCAATCCTTGAGGGGCCCACTTAGGGATCTGGGGCAAAATAATAAAAAATTAACCTTTCTAACCCAAATGTGAACTAGTAGCAAACAAAACCCCAATCCTGATGCTGAAACTTATAATATATGTATAGTAAAAGCTGTTTTATCTGGCACTTCACCAACTGGAAAGCTCTATAAACTGGCATTTCTGATCTTTACTGAAATTCCGGTTTATAGTTCGGTTGGCACAGGGCTGGCAGTGAGTTGGGGCGTGGGAGGGGGTGTGAAGCACGGGCTCTGGGAGGGAGTTTGGGTGCAGAAAGGATTTGGGGGTGCAGGGTGCCAGATCTGGGGGCTGCTCACCTTGGGTGGCTCCTCGAAAGCGGCGACCTGTCCTGGCTGCTCCTAGGCGGAGGTGCAGCAGGCAGCTCTGCATGCTGCCCCCATCCTGCCCCGAGCACTAGCTCCGCAGCTCCCATTGGCTGTGAACTGTGGCCAATGGGAGCTGTGGGGGCGGTGCCTGCAGGTGGAGGCAGCGCACAGAGCTGCCTGCCGCACCTTTGCCTCGGAGTGGCTAAGACAGGGGGCTGCCTGAGGTGAGCACCCCCTGGATCTGGCACCCGAAACCCCTCCCGCGCCCCAACCTGCTGCCCTGAGCCCCCTCTCACACCCAAACTCCCTCCCTCTTAGTTAACTGGCATTTTTCACTTACCCGATATGCCGGGTAAAACAGCTTTTACTGTATTTTCCCCCTCAAAATCTCAATTTAACTCCAGACAGATATTAGTTTGGTAAAAATATAAAGCTCAAAATACTTATTCCTATGGCAAAAAAGCCCTCTTTCAGCTATCATTGTTCCCCATATATGATTAAAATATACAATATTAGTGAGATTGATACATATAAATATAAATATAGCAGCCTTCTCATATTTACTAAATTATATAGTGAAATACAGATTATATGCTCTATGTTTGTACAGCCCCTAATAAAATAAGAGTCCCAGTCCATGACTGGGGTTCCTAGGACTTACCACAATACAAATAAAAATAAACAAACAAATAAATAATAATTAATTTGGGTCTCTCTCTCTCTCTCTTAATTCAATACTTTGGATCAAATCCTTAGCCCACTGCTCAGCCTAAGCAATAGGACTCTGTGCTGGGGTGACTAAAAGGGAAAGGAATAATATATTTAACAAAAAAAAGGCAATTTATCTGCAGTCCAGTTGGTAAATAAATAAATACTGGTTGCTTTATGCTAAAAGAAAAACTACAGGAAAGGTAAACTGTTTGGAAATAGTGATTAAATAAAGTTACTGAATAATTTTACCTTTGCATTCATTTTTCCGATTTCATACACATCACTTGAGTGTGGATACTGTTTACCTATGGTAAGATTTGGATATCTGTGTAAAGAAAATTAGTAATGGTGACTTCAAAGTTCAGCATTTGATGAAATACTATTCAGGAAATTATACTGAATGTTTTACCCATATCCAGTTCCTTTCTTTCCAGGATTTGTGTAAAGGTTCTTTCCAGGAGGAGCATATGCTGTTTTCCCTCTTAGTTGTGCACTGAAGAATGGATATGGACCACCTATAGTTCCATAATAAGTACCCATTCCGCATCTGAAATATAAAATAAACACATAATACAATAATTATTGTTAATAATAATAAATTAATAATTAGTATTCATTCAGTGCTATACAGTTTCAAAATTTCTGAATGATATTAATTGAAAAATAAGCAACTAACATTTTTGGACTACACATATAAAACTTGAGGTTCTGTTCATTCCACATGTACAACAATGATCCTATGCACAGTGCAGTAGAGGCACACAATGAGAGTAGTGGGGACAGAGTTAAAGTTTTGGGGCACCTTAGTTGTGCATGTCCACACTCGTCAATGTTTGGCTTTTGGTTTGTTTGCTTTAAATTTTCTCTTAACATGTTCCTGCTTTTCACCGTTGTTGTTGTTTTTATGTCAACCTTATATTAAGGGTATTTTTAGGTATTTACAACCTTAACTATATTTTACCAACAATTTTGTATTGAATTTCCTACTGTTTGTTTTACCAACATTTTTTAAGAATGAAGAGGTACTCTCAGGACCAGGTAGCCAGGGCCTTCAGAGGAATTTCCTGATGTGGGGCTTAGGATCTCTGCAAGGGATTAGCTTCAACTATTCATGTCCCAAATATGCATTTTATCAAAGAGCATGCAGGCTCTGACACATATTTTATAACAGCCCACAAATCTTAATATATAAAAATTTCCATCAGTGCCCCCCAAACTAGTGAAAGGCACTGCTCATCATCAGAGGCAATGGCAAACAAATTTGGGATTTTGCTATTATAGAAAACAAAAGTTGGAAGAACTTTAAAAAAGTGATAAATAGCTCATTTTCATAACTACATTATAAGACCCATTTTCAGATGTTTATATCTTTGCCAAACTTTAAACATTCAGAATGACATTTTCCATGTCGAGTGTCTGTTTGAAGCTGATTTTTTCCTGTACTATTTCAGCCAAAATGGTTGAGTCATTTTGGAGAATGAGGCTAAAGAAAGATAAATTGTTTTGATAAAGAGCCTATTTTCCTTTTCTTTGAAATGCTCTGGTGCCCCCAAGCTTTAGAGCAGTGGTTCTCAACCAGGGATACGCATACCCCTGGAAGTAGGGGTACATCAACTCATCTAGATATTAGCCTAGTTTTACAACAGCCTACAGGAGAAGAAGTCAGTACAAACTAAAATTTAATACGGACAATTACTTGCTTATACTATATCACTGTTTCTCAAAATGGGAGTCGTGATTTATTTTATAATTATATGGTAAAAATGAGAAAGTAAGCAATTTTTCAGTAATAATGTGCTGTGACACTTTTGTATTTTTATAAAAACAACAAGGAGTCCGGTGGCACCTTAAAGACTAACAGATTTATTTGGGCATAAGCTTTCGTGGGTAAAAAAACCACTTCTTCAAATGCATGGAGTGAAAATTACAGATGCAGGCATTATATAATGACACATGAAGAAAAGGGAGTTACCTCACAAGTGTTGACAGGGCCAATTCGATCAGAGTGGATGTAGTCCACACCCAATAATAGATGAGGAGGTGTCAATACCAAAAGAGGGAAAATTGCTTTTGTAGTGAGCCAGCCACTCCCAGTCCCTATTCAAGCCCAAATTAATGGTGTTAAATTTGCAAATGAATTTTAGTTTTGCTGTTTCTCTTTGAAGTCTGTTCTGAAGTTTTTTTGTTCAAGTATAGCTACTTTTAAATCTGTTATTGAATGTCCAGGGAGATTGAAGTGTTCTCCTACTGGCTTTTGTATGTTACCATTCCTGATGTCTGATTTATGTCCATTTATTCTTTTATGTAGGGACTGTCCGGTTTGGCCAATATACATGGCAGAGGGGCATTTTGTCAGTAGTTTATAAGTGAGGTGAAACTTGGGTATGCAAGACAAATCAGTTTCCTGAAAGGTTGAGAACCACTGCTTTAGAGCAGGGACTTGAAACCTGGCAAAGGATGGCTTTTGTGTCAGGAATGGACATTTGGCTGTCCCCATAAAAAAAGAGCTGAATTTGGTCAATTATAAACCTTTAAAAAAACTACAGTTTGCAAATGCTTGGTAGAGACTAGCTAAAGATAAACAGGTAAAATCTCCGAAGATTCCATCCTCCCTGGTGTACCCAGCCTTTTACAGCTCCTAGTGCTGACCAGACTGCACATGCACCATCCTCACAGAGCAACTGAGCATGCTCCAGCCTAGAACTACAGGAATTCAGAAAGACTTCCCCTATAACAACTGCTCCCAGTTGCTCAAGGCTGGGGCGGGGCTGGGCACTGCAACTGAGAGCAGTAGGCAGTCTCTCCTCAGTTCTCGATCACCCCCCCTGCTGGCACCCAGACAGCATGGTGGGGGAACATATCGGAGAAAATCCAGGCCAGGAGGGATGGGAAGAACTAGATTAGAGCAAGATTGGTGAGACTGGCGGTGGGGGGAGAAACAGTGACAGGGAGTTGGAGGGAGAGACTGGGACTGGTTGTGCAAGGAGAATGGGACTGGGAACTGGGGGCACAGGAAATGCTTGGGCAAGGAGACTGGGAGCTAGTGGGGAAGTAGAGGCTGTGACTGGAGGCTAGTAAGGGAAACGGAGGAAGAAAACAAAGCCAGTTGGCTGGGGAGTGGGGAACACTGAAATGAGATGAGGAATTGGGGGGAGGGAGGAACTGGGACTGGCTGGGTAGAGAAGATAAAACAAGAAGACAGGGAGGGAATGTGGGGGGAGACTGAGATTGGATGAGGAGCCCAGGGAAGGAGACTGGGACAGGGAGCTAGTGGGAGGGGAAGAGGAGAGATCAAATCAGATGAGGAGCTGGGCATGGTGGGGACTGGGACTGACTAGGCAAGGAAACTGGGGACCAGAGCCATCCCTAGGGTATGGCAAATCGGGGTGACCGCCCTGGGCCCCATGCTTTGGAGGGCCCCACGCTTCCTGAGGAGGTGGGCGGGAAGGTGAGGCAGGAGTCGGCGGGCGGGGGGCAAGGCGGAGCCCCCCTACCAACCTCCCTCTGCCCCCAGTGACTCCTGCCCGCCGACATCCCCGCCAATCAGTGCCTCTCCCTCCCTCCCAGCACTTACTGCTGATCAGCTATTTTGTGGCATCTGGACTTGGTGCTGGGAGTGGAGGGGAGAGGAGCGAGGGCGCAGCATGCTCAGGGGAGGGGGCAGAACTGGGTGGGGAAGAGGTGGGGTGGGATGGAGCCTTGGGGGAAGGGGTGGAGTGGGGGTGGGGCCTGGGCAGAGCACCCCCCAGCAGATAGAAACTGGGTGCCTATGTCCTGGGCCCCACACCCCTCTAGAGATGGCCCTGCTGGGGACAAGTTGTTGGGGCGGGAGTGGTGGAACTAGGACTGGCTGGGAAAGCAGTTTGGAATAGGTGTGGGGAGGGGGAGAGATTGGAAGTCTGGAGGAAGACTGGGACTTGGAGAGTGAACTGAGAGAAGAGCAGAACTGTCTGGGCAGGGAGACTGGGACTGGGATGAGAAACCTCAAGAGTGGAGACTGGGGCTGGAAAGGTAAGGAGCATGGGACTGAGACAAGGAGGCAGGGATGAGGAAGAGACTGGACTGGGACTAGGACAGGTTCAATGGGATGGAGAGGAAGAGATCAAGCTTGAGAGAAACAGGCAGAGAATCATCTGTGCCTATTGGAGCACATTCCCTTCCAGAACCTGGAATGAAACCCAAGATTCCTCTGCTGTCAGCAAATATCCACGAAACCCACTGACAAAATGTTTGTCTTATCTCCCGCTAGCTCAAGTGGCAGAGATCTGTGTGGTGGAACTAAAGGTTCCATGCCTGGTGAGAAACTACATGGGTCAATGTGATGCAACACGATGGAATTTTATTTTTGCGGTTTGCTTTTTTAAAATCCTGGGAAATTGCTCACAAAAATGCTATGCTAAAAGAACATTATTAAGGTTGCAAAGTCAAGCACTCAAAAGTTAGGAAATGCCAGAATTAAGGTTTCCTGTGCATCTTTAATTCATCTTCCTTGTGCAGTCTTTAATTATATGATTGCGTACTATCTTTAACATAGGACCCCTGCCTGATTGAGTATAGAGATGGATCTGCTTTGTGGATGAACCTGAGCTGTGTAGTAAAGGATGCTATTGTCTGTAGGACCCCCTCTCATTTGTTGCACAAGTTGTGTAGTGAGTGAGGCAAGGAATAGCAAGCAAGAAATGAAGGGTTTTGTGGTTAAGGCAGCTGAATGCTGCCTAGAAGAACTGGATTCTAACCCCTGTCTCTGCCACAGCATTCCTGAGTGATGCTAAGCAAGTCACTTAAACCAAACTTTTCAGAGACGATTACTAATTATGTGTTTCTCATTTTCTGGGTTTAAGTGAGCAACGTCCATCTTGTGCACTAAATGAGGCAGGGGTCACATGGAAAAATAATGTGACTATGTAAACACTGTACCCTAATGCCTATGTACAAGAGGGCCAAATTAAGGTAGCACAGGCAACCTTCCATTGACTTCAGTGGACTTGAGCTTGGGGCTAGGTGTGCATGGCAATTAAATCCTACTGGGTTGGGGTGGTTTGACTGGTTTCTATAGAAAATATAGTAGAGGTAACAGAAGTGTCTGAGAGTGAGTGGGACAGCACTTAACTATAGTGGGATAGCACTCGCCTACCCATCAAAGATAGCACAGGCATATACACACCAGCTCCTACATCCCCATTATGGCTGCTCAACTGTCAGTGAATGATTCTGTACAGGCTCTTAGAACCACCTGATTTCCAACCTCGCCAGTGGAGGGGGTATGGTGTGAGCTGATCTATTTTGCACTGGGGACAGGATGGACTCAGAACTCAGTGGAGGAATGGGACATAAAGATGGCTTAAAACCACCTTTGTGCACACATAGCAGAGCACAGCTTGGACACAGGCCAGGATCTGGGCCTTCTACTTCATTGTGAGGCAGTCCATGGTATATAAAAGGGGCCACTTCCTGGATATTTATGACAAATGACCAGACAAAGTGTATAGTGAACAGATTTTCAAGCATACTGAAATGTGCAGGAAAAGAAAGTAAGGGACACTGCTCCCACTAGACCCCATAGCCATTAGCAGAGTCTCAGTCCATATGATTCTTGGTTGAAGAGGCCCCCTTTGCTCTCTAAACCTTCTGACTTCTGGGGGATACTTTTTAGCAATCTTCCATTTGAAAAATGAGGAAATCCTACTACAGACAAGTGAAATTAAATCCCTATTTATATGGCTAAATTCTGTCTGTCTGTGCATACGTATGCATCAACAAAATACATATACACCCATGGTATTTCTAGAGCACGTGGCAGAAAATGGCCAATTCTGGCTCCTCAAAAAAATGAACAAGAGATTACTCTCCAAGCTCTTCACAGCCCAAGCCACAGAGAGATGACTGGACATAGCCATAGACATAGCCTGTGTAGTGTAGTGAGTACTGCACAAGTCTCCAGATCACTGGCAAAGCAGCAGTGTATATATGTAGCTAGACTTTGTAGCTCCTGGCCGCCTTGGACAGTGTGGTCCCCCCGCAGCTCTCCACCACAGTGGGCAGTGCCCCCCTCCAGCTCGTAACCAACATAGGCGCCAGGGTCCCGTCCCCCCCACGCTCCAAGCTGCCGCAGGCAGTAGGGCCGCAGCTCCAAGCCACCCAGGAGCTCTGAGCCATCGAGGGCAGCAGGGGCCCCCAGAGTTTGGAGCAGCCCCTGCAGCTGCCCAACCTCTGCAGGTGGTGTGGAGACCCCGTAGCTGAGCTCCCCATTTTGTCAGGGATATCTTAAATAAAAGTTACAGACAGGTCACAGGCTTCTGTGAATTTTTCCTTATTGCCCGTGACCTGTCCATGACTTTTACTAAAAATATCTGTGACAAAATCTTAGCCTTTATTATAGACACATATACATTACAGTGTATACCGAATAAGTGTACATTTGGGGACACAGAAGCAGAGTCGGGCCATTATGCCTGTTTGTGAATACCTGCCAGAGTCTGGCCCATAGTTTTTAATATCCCTTTAAGACAATCCTTGTGTTTTAATAAATGGATTAGACATCTTACATTTCTTTAAATGTAACAGACTTTTTCCTGCCTGTCTGTATTTTTAATTAAAAAGCCCCAAAAGCAAGAAAACCTCTCAGTCCAATAACAGTTACATGAACTCTTGCTTTAACTGTAATTATGCGATGCTACATGAGATCTTTGTTCAGACAGATAAATATTTTCATCAAAAGGTCAAACGCACTGCAGGCTATTTATGTCTCCGTGTCCTCTGACCAACTCAGTCACAGAGGTGTCATCCCATGATGTTTTCAATGGGTGGTACTTTTATTCTGGTAGTGCCCATTTGTCTCCAGCACTGGGGACTGATCAGGTATTATAAAAAATCCAAGGTAATGGAACTCTGGCAATGGAAATAGAGAAATTCAGGATAGCGGATTCTGTTAGTCCCATTTCCCATGATGCAGAACTCTTAGCTTCACACAATATTCTGCTTGAGATCTTTAACGTCTCTCTCTCTCTCTAAGTTTATGTTGGTTATCAGGTGTATGGTCGATGGCAGTACTGTGTTTTAACACTGCTTCTTTATCATATGTTGTACATATCGTCTCATAAAAACAAGACCGTACTCTTGTTAACAGTTAACTTTTATAAAAAAGCTGTGACAAATTATTTTTAGTGCAGCACACACACAAAAAGGAAGCCTTTCCCAACACTTACGGCAGTTTGACTCCATTGCTTGGAAGGAAAGCTTTGCCCATATTTTTCTTTGACTCTGCCAATCTATATCGCCTCCTTAGTTGCACAGGGTTTGAGTAGGCTTCACCTTCGAAAACCCTCACAAACTGAGGCTCAAAGTAACCTGCCTGAAGAGCTGACAGCATTTTGGTACCCCCAGGTAACATTTGTTTGTTCTTGCTTGCAGCTTCATTGAAAGGGCCTTTAAAACAAGTAAGCATTGTAAATATTCACTTAACTCTACAGATTCTCTTAATTTAAATGTAGAAATTAAAAATGAAGACTGGGTATGGATGGTTCAAAGGGACGGGTAATGCAATACAGAACCTGTCACCTGTGGTAGTGACTGATTGCTAATACTATATGGCAACTGTTCAGTAACTTAATATATGAAAAATGAATTGTTTGACTCAGTCAAGTTTCTAGAGGCATGCATTCATAACACAAAAATACCATTGCAATTAGCACCTTTTGGAGGGAGGCCATAACTATTCTGCACTAACATCTAGCATTATCTAGCAGAGGAAGGTATAACATGATCCAATGGCTGGAAGTTGAAACTAGACAAATTCAGACTGGAAATAAGGCATGATATTTTAAGTGAGAATAATTAGTCACTGGAACAATTTACCAAGGGTCATGATGGATTCTCCATCACTGACCATTTTTAAATCAAAATCAGATGCTTTGCTAAAAGATCTGCTCTAGGAATTATTTTTGGGGAAGTTCTATGGCCTGTGTTATACAGGAGGTCAGACAAGATAATCACATTGTCCCTTCTGGTCTTGGAATCTATGAACATCACTTCACAAAGGCTGACTCTTACTGAGGGTCAAACTCAGTCATCCTTACTCATCAAGAGTAATGCCATGAGTAGTTCCAATGAACAAGAGTGAGGATGAAAGAATCCAGCCCTAAGTAATAAATAAATAAATCTCCTATGCACATTGGTCAACTACGAACAAAGAAATAAAAGACTACCACAAAATGTAAAGTACTGAAAACATAATCTTACAACAGAAGTGCCAGTTGGAGCAGCCACACAGAAAAAACTACTTGCTCTCAGCATCAGCATGTCAGGGGAAAATAAGGCTTTCCATAATGCCAGTTCAGTTTTAACATTACAAATGTTAACAAAGATAACCAAGGAGCAAAACTGTGGAGCAATTTGCTGTTGGATTAAGTCATCATATTAATGCTGTTCTGCAGTTGAGTCTCTTAGCAGAATATTCAAAATAATGAAGATAATTTGTATATTGACTGACAAAGAAAATTGGTGTCCCATTTTTTGTTTTCTTTCAGCACAATTGGGAAACAGTTTCAAAGGACCTAATTCCTTAAAATGTTCATTTCAAAGAAGTAATTAAATGCTATACATATCCTATAAAGTAATCTACTTTACCTGGTTTGTCTCAGGGGTTTCATAAATTTTAATTGGTCGCCTGTTAACCTTATTTTACATAATTTATCTACCCTTCTCAAAACTCACAGCTATTAATTTAAAATTTGAATCATAAGGACATTATAAATTTAAAAAAATGCTGCACTCATTTGGGACGTGCAAATACTGGAGGGATACACAATCTGTGAGTTGACATTTCCAAGGGAAAGAACGCCAATGTGAAAAGCCAAAAGAATATGTACTATCGCAAAAGTCTAAATGTAAATCCACTTGCAATGTCTCTGCATGGAGCAGCTGGAACCCTACCACCACTTATATCCCATGGTGTGATGAGAAGAAGCCCCTGGAAATCTCCACAATTATGGCAGAGAAGGGGGATGAGTCACTGGAGGTGACACCTACTCCCCACCAGCTGGTAGGTAAAGACACACCAGTCATTTCAATAGTATATTTTATCTGTAACTTGGACAACAAAATGCAGCATATATATTTTTAATTAATCTTAATACATAAAACTCAGCTAAACTGAAAAATATTTACTTTTTTATGCCCTTTTTGCATTTATTGTGATATATTAAGTAAACCTCTACTAAAACTGGATTATGCCACACTGAGCAAAGACAGAGAGCTTTTTGGTTACTAAAAAACCCAGATGTCTCTAAAAGGACTAATAGAAAACAGTGAGTCAGTAGAAAGACAGATTAGACAGCTATTGGAAATATCCTTATTGCTAAAATGAAATGTACTTACGCATATAGTGTGAGACATATTTATCTCCAATGGTAACATACTCCATTTCACTGAAGAGGCCAATCCTCTCCATGTCAGTTTTTCCTTCTCCAGGCATGGTTGGTTGTGTGTGACAGTTCACTACAGTAGAAAATGTAGATGTTTCTTATGCTCACTTCTTTTACTGCAAAAACATACAAATAGAGTTACAGTCAAAGTCTGCAACAAGTTTAAGCATTTAAAATAGAATGTACCATTATGGTGCTGAGATTCTTTGGTTCAAAAGTACTAACACTCAGTTCCTTTACATTTCTATTGTACTCAGAATGCAACATTAGCTATAAAGTACAGTAACTCCTCCCTTAACGTTGTAGTTATGTTCCTGAAAAATGCTACTTTAAGTGAAACAATGTTAAGCGAATCCAATTTCCCCATCAGAATTAATGTAAATAGCAGGGGTTAGGTTCCAGGGAATTTTTTTCACACACACAAACACACACACACACACAGAGTGTATATACACACAAACATATACACAGTATAAGTTTTAAACAATTTAATACTGTACATAGCAATGATGATTTTGTAGCTTGGTTGAGGTGGTGAAGTCAGAGGGTGGAAGAGGATGGGATATTTCCCAGGGAATGCCTTATTGCTAAATGATGAATTAGCACTCGGCTGAGCCCTCAAGGGCTAACACATTGTTGTTAATGTAGCCTCACACTCTACAAGGCAGTAAGAATGGAGGGAGGGGAGACAGTATGCAGAGAGACAGAGATACACACAGTGAGAGAGAGAGAGAGAGAGAGACTGCATTGCCCCTTTAAGTTCGCTGACCCCACTCCAAGTACACTGCCTTTTTAAGCTGATCAGCAAGCTGTCATGTCCCCCGCTGCTCTGTGGAGATGGCCAGATGGGGTAAAGGAGCAGGAGAGGGGGGGAGGTGGACACCTTGACATTAGCACCCCTCTTCTCTCTCCCCCCACCTTACACAGCAAGCAGAAGCTCCCGAGCAGAGGACAGGAGCAGCACATGGCAGTGGGGGAAGGGACAGCTGAACTGCCCAGCAATTGATAGCCTGCTGGGCGGCTGCCATGCAGGGAACTGGGGGGGGGAAGCTGATGGGGGAGCTGATGGGGTGGGCTGCTGGTCCACTGTGGTTCCAAGCCCCCACCAGCTAGTTCCAACAGACGGCTCTTTCTGCAAGCAGTGGACAAAGCAGGCAGCTGCCAAACAACGTTGTAAGGGAGCATTGTGCAACTTTAAACTAGCATGTTCCCTAACTGATCAGCAACGTAACAATGAAATAATGTTAACCAGGATGACTTTAAGTGAGGAGCTACTGTAGGTCATAACTGGAGTGGTGATTGTGAGAAGAGGACTGAACTAGAGTGTGTGGGAGAGAGCCAGCAGGGTTAGCTCTGTGGTTTGAGCACTGGCCTGCTAAACCCAGTGTTATGTGTTCAATCCTTGAGGGGGCAATTTGGGGATTTAGTTGGGGATTGGTCCTGCTTTGAGCAGGGGGTTGGACTAGATGACCTCCTGAGGTCTCTTCCAACCCTGATATTCTATGATCACATGTCCTTTGAAAAACAAATTTAAAACCAATATGAGACAGATATGGCCCACATTCATCTGTGATGTAACTGGGTTCAACTCTTATTAAAATATCTGGATCCAAATTTGCTAATAAGTACCCCTAAAATATTGAGATCAGGGGTACAGGTGGAAGCAGGGGCAAAGACCTGTGAGGGGGGAATGCCGGGGGGAGAACAAGGGCAGTGGAAGCATGTGACCGTGAGAAGCAGGCCAAGGAAAAGGAGGGCCAGTGAAGGAGAAACAGAGCTCAGGAACAGGTTTGGGTGTTTGGAAAACGAGGAAGGGGTGCAGCAGGTGGTAACTGAAGGGGGGAAGGTGAGGAAAAAGAGAAGAGAAGCTAGTCCCATAGAAAGAGGGGAGGAGTTGATGGAGACAGCACCAAATCTTGGCCCCGGGAGGATACAGGATGGCATAAGGGGGATTATAAGGGAAAATAGGAATGGACAGGGGTTGTAACTAGAGGGAACAGGGAATAGATTAGTAGATCGCACTGTCACCAGGCAAAGGCAGGTTTACATGATTGGGGACTCCTTACTGAGGAGGTTAGACAGGCCTGTGACCAGGGCAGACCCAGAGAACAGAAGGGTGTACTGTTTACCGGGCGCTAAGATATGGGATATGGACTTGCGGCTGAAAAGGATCCTAAAAGGAGCAGGTAAGAACCCCTTGATCATCCTTCACAGAGGAACGAATGACACGGCTAGGTTCTTGCTGGAGAGAATCAAGGGAGATTATGCCAGGCTGGGGAAGCTTAAGGAAATCGAGGCTCAGATCATCTTCAGTGGGATTCTGCCGGTTCCTAGAGAAGGGCAGCAAAGGGGTGACAGGATTGTGATGATAAATAGTTGGCTAAGGGAGTGGTGCTATAAAGAGGGCTTTGGGATGTATGGCCACTGGGAGGCTTTCAGGGACAGAAAACTGTTCTCACGAGACGGACTTCACCTAGGGAAGGAAATAGACTTCTGGGAGGGAGGCTGGCTCATCTCATCAAAAGAGCTTTAAACTAGGAATTTGGGGGAGACAGTTGGGAGATGTCCAGTTAATCTCCACACCAGATTATAACATTGAGAGGGAGGACGATGAGATAAGAACGGATATAGCCGGGGGGAAGAGATTGGACATAAGGGGGGGAGGGGGAGATGGATACTAGATTAATAGGTCATACTAGCAGTATGGTGTCCATACCAAATGGGATAACGAATGTGAGAGAGGCCAAACGGCATAAATTAAGAAGTTTATACACCAATGCGAGAAGCCTAGGTAACAAAATGGAGGAATTGGAGCTCCTGGTCCGAGAAATGAAACCGGATATCGTAGGAATAACTGAAACGTGGTGGAACGGTAGTCATGACTGGAGTACAGGTATGGAAGGGTATGTGCTGTTTAGGAAAGACCGGATCAAAGGTAAAGGTGGGAGAGTAGCACTGTATGTCAATAATGAGGTAAACTGTAAAGAAATAATAAGTGATGGAATGGATAAAACGGAGTCTGTCTGGGCAATACTCACATTGGGTAAAAGAACTACTAGAGCCTCCCCTGGGATAGTGCTTGGGGTGTGCTATAGACCGCCGGGATCTAGCCTGGATATGGACAAAGAACTCTTTAATGTTTTTAGGGAAGTAAATACTAATAGGAACTGTGTAATCATGGGAGACTTTAACTTCCCGGATACAGATTGGGGAACAAATGCTAGTAACAATAATAGGGCTCAGATTTTCCAGACATGATAGCTGATGAATTCCTTCATCAAGTAGTTGCTGAACCGATGAGAGGGGATGCCATTTTAGATTTGGTTTTGGTGAGTAGTGAGGACCTCGTTGAGGAAATGGTTGTAGGGGACAACCTTGGCTCGAGTGATCATGAGCTAATTCGGTTTAAACTAAATGGAAAGATTAACAGAATTAAATCAGAGACTAAGGTTTACGATTTCAAAAGGGCTAACTTTAATAAATTAAGGGGACTAGTTAGGGAAGTGGATTGGACTAACATATTTAGGGATCTAAAGGCGGAAGGCGCCTGGGATTATTTCAAATTGAAGTTGCAGGAGCTGTCGGAGGCCTGTATCCCGAGAAAGGGAAAACGGTTCGTAGGCAGGAGATTTAGACCGAGCTGGATGAGCAAGCATCTCAGAGGGGTGATTAGGAAAAAACAGAAAGCGTACAGGGAGTGGAAGATGGGAGGGATCAGCAAAGAAACCTACCTTATTGAGGTCAGAGCATGTAGAGATGGAGTGAGAAAAGCCAAAAGCCGTGTAGAGTTGGACCTTGCAAGGGGAATTAAAACCAATAGTAAGAACTTTTATAGCCATATAAATAGGAAGAAAACAAAGAAAGAAGAAGTGGGACCGCTTAAGACTGTAGATGGAGTGGAGATTAAGGATAATCTAGGCATGGCACAATATCTAAATGAATATTTTGCATCGGTATTTAATGAGGCTAATGAAGGGCTGAGGAATAGTGGAAGCGAGACGGATGGAAATAAAGGAGTGGGGGTTGACATTACCATATCTGAGGTAGAAGCCAAACTCGAACAGCTTAACGGGACTAAATCGGGCGGACCGGATGATCTTCATCCAAGAATATTAAAGGAACTGGCGCGAGAAATTGCAAGCCCGTTAGCGATAATTTTTAATGAATCTGTAAACTCGGGAGTGGTACTGTTTGACTGGAGAATAGCTAATGTGGTTCCTATTTTCAAGAAGGGAAAAAAAGTGACCTGGGTAACTACAGGCCTGTTAGTTTAACATCTGTAATATGCAAGGTCTTAGAAAAAATTTTGAAGGAGAAAGTAATTAAGGACCTTGAGGTCAATGCCAATTGGGACAAATTACAACACGGTTTTATGAAAGGTAGATCGTGCCAAACCAACCTGATCTCCTTCTTTGAGAAAGTAACAGATTTTTTAGATAAAGGAAATGCCGTGGATCTAATATACCTCGATTTCAGTAAAGCGTTTGATACGGTACCGCATGAGGAATTATTGGTTAAATTGGAAAAGATGGGGATCGATATGAAAATCCAGAGGTGGATAAAGAACTGGTTAAAGGGGAGACTGCAGCGGGTCGTACTGAAAGGTGAACTGTCAGGTTGGAAGGAGCGTTACCAGTGGAGTTCCTCAAGGTTCAGTTTTGGGTCCGATTTTATTTAATCTATTCATTACTGACCTCGGAACCAAATGTAGGAGTGGGCTGATAAAGTTTGCGGATGACACAAAGTTGGGAGGTATTGCCAATTCGGAGAAGGATCGGGATATCCTGCAGGGAGATTTGGATGACCTTGTAAACTGGAGTAATAGTAATAGGATGAAATTTAATAGTGAGAAGTGTAAGGTTATGCATTTAGGGATGACTAACAAGAATTTTAGTTATAAACTGGGGATGCATCAGTTAGAAGTAACGGAAGAGGAGAAGGACCTCGGAGTCCTGGTTGATCGCAGGATGACTATGAGTCGACAATGTGACGTGACCGTGAAAAAAGCAAATGCGGTCTTGGGATGCATTAGGCGAGGTATTTCTAGTAGGGATAAGGAGGTGCTGGTTCTGTTATACAAGGCACTGGTGAGACCTCATTTGGAGTACTGTGTGCAGTTCTGGTCTCCCATGTTTAAAAAGGATGAAATCAAACTGGAACAGGTACAAAGAAGGGCCACTAGGATGATCCGAGGAATGGAAAATCTGTGGTATGAAAGGAGACTCAAGGAGCTCGGTTTGTTTACCTTAACCAAAAGAAGGCTGAGGGGGGATAGGATTGCTCTCTTTAAATATATCAGAGGGATAAATACCAGAGAGGGAGAGGAATTATTTCAGATCAGTACTAATGTGGACACGAGAACAAATGGATATAAACTGGCCGTCGGGAAGTTTAGGCTTGAAATTAGACGAAGGTTTCTAACCATCAGAGGGGTGAAGTTTTGGAACAGCCTTCCGAGGGAAACAGTGGGGGCAAAAGACCTCTCTGGCTTTAAGATTAAGCTTGATAAGTTTATGGAGGGGATGGTTTGATGGGATAAAGTGATTTTAGTCAATAGGTCAATAACGTGCCATCGCTGGTAATTAGTAACAATGGTCAATGATGGGATATTAAAAGTTACTACAGAGAACTTTTTCCAGAGAGTCTGGCTAGGGAATCTTGCCCGCATGCTCGGGGTTCAGCTGATCGCCATATTTGGGGTCGGGAAGGAATTTTCCTCCAGGGTAGACTGGCAGAGGCCCTGGAGGTTTTTCGCCTTCCTCCACAGCAGGGGGCAGGGGTCGCTTGCTGGAGGATTCTCAGCAATTTGAAGTCTTTAAATCATGATTTGGGGACTTCAACAACTGAGTCAAGGGAGAGAATTATTCCATGAGTGGGTGGGTCAGCTTCTGTGGCCCGCATCATGCGGGAGGTCAGACTAGATGATCATAATGGTCCCTTCTGACCTTAGAGTCTATGAGTCTATCTGATCATTATGCAGGATAGCATCTCCTTTTGCTTTCTGGATTACCTTCAGCTGTGCTTTGTAGTCATCCTTGGTTAACAATGGGCAGGGGTAGTACAAGGAGATGTGAAGAAGTTTTGGGATCCTTATTGTGGTAACCTAAATCCTTATGCTGAGAAGTGCTGACCACCTACTATTCCCACTGACTTCAAAAATGTAAATGATTGAGGTCAATGGCAGCTATGGGTGCTCAGCTCTTTTCAGGATCAGTCCCCTAATCAGCATACAAAGAGACCACTGAGCACTGTATTAAGAATATATGGTGTATAACTTTTCAAGGGGTATAATATATTTTACCTGCCTCTCAGGGATGTTGAGCAATTTAATGTATTAATATTGGAAAAGCTCTTTGGATGGAAGATGTTGCAGAAGTGCAATGTACTGTTAAGAAAGTAAAAACTGATTTTAAATGATTATGTAACCATCAGTTACATATAAACACACACATATAATTGCATCACTTTACATACATGTAAACATATTTTTGTAACTATAATTACATCAGCATATGAATAATCGATGCATAAATATCATTACCGCATAAATTATTGCAGATATTTGCATGATTAAGCAATTTGCATGAAATCTTCCTTGACAGTAACGACTGACTGTTAATTGCAGTGGTTGAGGTGAGCCGCACAGAGAGGGAATAATCAGCAGCACACGCTTTAAGGAGGACGTCTGGACGGATTTCTCACTCACCTCACACCAACCCCGACAGGTACGTTGCAGAGGGTCAGTAGCAGCCCCCTCCTCTCTGCATCCCGAGGCGGCGGCGGCAGCAGCTTCTGAGAGGGACGGGATTCTACCCAGGGCTCTTTGTTGATGCAGTTGCTCTGGATTCCGGAAAGTCCAACAACACATGAACAGCATTTCAGTATTGTCCACCCCATCTGTGAAGCCCTGTTGGTGTAGTCCAGAGGCTGCGCGCGCTGCGCACCTGCGCTGCATCTTGGGAATTGTAGTCCCGTCCTGTCAACGCCTTCGTTCACATGATCTGGCCTGGCGTTCTCGGCCTGCCGCCTTTGTCTTGCTTGGAGTGACACGTCAGACCTTGCGGCGCGTGCAAGGGAACCGGCCTGTTCCAACCCCCCGTCGGGGTGGGGGAGAGGCGTGTGCTGACTATGAATACGGTGCTGACAGACGTGGTGAGTCCGCGCCGCTGGGGTGGGTAAAACAGCGGGCCAGGGCGCTTCTGCTGTGCGGGAAGGGGGCAGCCGGTCCGTTGCATGCTGGGAGTTTCTCCCCGAAGTGGTGCACGCCGTCGAATTCTTGTCACCTCGGGGCTAACAATCGCGGCCTGTTCTCGAGGGGCTGCAGCTTGGAGTAGGGTGACCAGATGTCCCAATTTTATAGAGACAGTTCTAATTTGTGGGTCTTTTTCTTATATAGGCTTCTGTTACCCCCCACCCCCATCCCGATTTTTCACATTTGCTGTCTGGTCGCCCCAGCTTGGAGTGACCCTGGTGCCACTGCATTGCCGGCCTGTAGCTACCTCCGCGCGGGCTCCCACCCTCGCAGCCCCTGCCCTCCCCTGCATCTCGTCTTGCATCTCCGCTCCCGCCTTGGTTCAGCGCCAGGCTCCTGCCCGCCCTTGTGTCCCTGCCTGGTGCATCCTCTGTGTTTTGCCTGCGGGTGAGCCTGGGCCGGGGTAAATCACGTTCCCTGGTGCCCCTCCCAGCCTCCAGTTATGAGCCTCCTTGTTATGTTGTAACCATCTAATTTATGCATCAGTCCTGCATGGAGCGCCACGTGATCAGACGCCTGGCCCCCCCACATGCAGCCCCTTTGAATTCAGAAACCTATGTGATGCTTTACAGGAGCAAGACCTTATGCTGTAAGCTCAAGACAGAGATTTTGTCATATGACATGTTTGAAAGTGCTTTGCACACCTGGTAGCATATAAATGTGAGTGTGTGTTGCTGACTGCACTGTTGAAATAAATTGTGCTACTTAAAGGTCAAATTTTGGTGTGGTTTTGTTTTTTATTTTAAAGGATTTTTTTTTTTTTTTTAAAATGACCACCAATATAATGAACATGTAGTGTAGATGTAACTTTATCAAGAAGTTTATTTTATTGGGCAGGTCCACTGCTTCATGGAAAGACTGGAAGCTTTAAAGCAGGAGTGGGGAACCTGCAGTCCACTGCTTCATTTCATCCTGCCCGTGGCAAGTCTTGATGCCAAAAGCCTCGAGCCTTGGAGTCCCCCTGGAGGGCTGGAGCCGCAAGCACCAGCTCGCCCCGCTGCGGTGGGAAGCTAGGGTCAGTTCCAGCTCCCAGAAGCGACAGGCATGTCCCTGCAGCCCTTAGGAGCAGGGGCAATCAGGGAAGCTCTGCGTGCTGCCCCTGCCACCAGTGCAGGATCTGCAGCTCCCATTGGCCAGGAACCGCAGCCAATGGGAGCTGCAGGCATGGGCAGCATGCACCATGCTGAGCCCCTTGGCTCCTCTGCCTAGGGTCCGGACATGGTGGCCGCTTCCAGGAGCAGCCCAGAGCCAGGGCAGACAGGGAGCGTGCCTTTGCCCTGCTGCACTGCCAGCTGCCTGAGGTAAACACCGCCCAGCCAGAGCCTGCAACCCAAACCCCCTGCCCCAGCCCTGATCCCTGTTCCACACCCAAACTCCCTCCTGGAGCCTGCACCCCAAACCTCCTTGCACACCCCTGCCCTGAGCCCGCTCCTGCACTCCAAACCCCTTGGCCCCAGCCTGGAGCCCCCTCCTACACCCCAAACCACCCACCCCCCAGCTGGAGCCCTTACCCCCCAGCCCAGAGACCCCTCCTGCACCCTGAACCCCACATTTCTGGCCACAGCCTGGCGCCTAGGGGTAGCCCCAAGCCTCTGTGTGCCCCCATGGGGCTGTGTGTGGCCTGCAAATGATTTTTTCTGTGGGTCAATGGCCCCTGATAGAAAAAGGTTCCCCACCCCAACTTTAAAGCTTAACTACACGTTGATACTGTTTAAAGTGCAAGTGGTGGTGACACTTCAGATAAATTTCCCAGGTGTACATTATCTTTCTATAGTTTCTTCTCATGTTTCTATTTAGAATGTTTTTAATGGAAGTCAAATATGTGTTATACATGGAATTGAAATAAATCAATCAAAATACAGGGCTAGCTTTGAACCCGGAAGTCTCCCACACTTTGTCACCAAAGAGAAATGTGATGATAGTTCTATGTTTGCTAATAGTCTTACTTTGGCTACTCTTTGCAGCTCTTTAGGAGCAGCTAACTGGCAAATCCCCTTCTGTATGTTCACTGAGCCCTCATGAGTCCAGAGGTTTTGAGTTCTTCCTTATTGTTGCTGAGACTGTTGCTTTCCTACCAAAATGAACAGTTGAAGAAGATAGAGGGGAAATTTCCTGTTACCTGCCACAGTGTCCCAGCATTGCAGATGGGAGGCACTCCCCATCTAATCTGCCAAATTAATCAGCAGAGCAGTTCCAGTCCTGCCTTCAGCTGGGAAGTAGAAGCAAAGATGGGAAACACAAAATGGAATCTAAAACCAAACAATTACGAATTTAAAGCAGCTGGAGTTCTACTCTAAAAACACTTCCTGGATTTAAAAAGTATGCGGTTAATACCTGTGTGATTAAAAGTAATCCTGTTTTAATGAGCCATGTTCTCATTGCAACTTTTGGGAAACATTACTGAAGTAACTGTCTTTGCCACTCATTTCTATTAACTTTATAACTCAACTTCTTTTTTCTCCATAGGTAATTCTGGAAACTATGGACATACTCTTTAGAATAAGAGGAGGCCTGGATCTTGCATTTCAGCTGGATACTACTGATGGTGTGTCTATAAGAATATCATAAAATCACCTCATAAGAGTGTAAAGTCTGAATAGAAGACTAACCACAGTGGATATAATAATTTTGTCACCTGCTCACCAAATATTTAGGATTTCTCTCCAAACAGTAAAGGATCAGTGCATGAAGTTGATTTCATTTTTTGACCTCCCTCTCATGTTTCATTTCCTGACAACCTCCTCCCTTCCACTACACACTTTTTTTTTTTTATAGCTTAAAGCAATACCAAAATCAGTAATTTTAGGGGGGGGGGTTAATTTCCAAATATATACCACTTATGGGATGTATATAGGGACCATTTTTGACTTGCCCCACCCTTCCCTAAATCTTTGTGAAACCTGAAAATCAAAAATTGTTTTAGAGTGACACTTACTTACAATGAATTCAGGTACTGCAAAATTCCATGAATAGTACAAAATTTACCTAAGTCTGAGGAGCATGGTTAAGGTAATCTATGCTACATAAGCTCCATCGTAGGCCATGCAGAAAGAGGGTATGTGCAGCAGCCATTCAGAGGCTTCTGCACCCAAATATTTAGTTACACAGGATTCTGCACTGATCCTAAATAAACTCACAAGTGGAGACCATTGTTAGGGACCACAGAAGCAGCTCTAATACGTACTCAGTGGCCTGCCTGGAGGCTTCAGCTCCTATTCGAGCTTGTGATCTGGAATAGAGGTAGTGAACACATTCCGATGAAGCACAGTATTCTGTCTCTGGATTCTAGCCTCACCATCCCTTTTTTAATTCTTCACACAAAGACTCATTACTTGGACTTTGCTTAGAAAAGGGTGAATTTCACTGTCAGTGAAGCAGAACAAAAGCCCTAAATTATCTCAATGTCATGTAGTTTGCAACTTAATATTCTTCTAATAGAGAACCTCCTTATATATAGAAAAGTGGTCACGTGGAGAGAGTGAGGGCCTTCACTGAAGAAGGTTCCGTTATATTTTTGTTTACACAGGTTGTGGTGTATTTTTGTATACTTTAATTACTACCAATATCAGTCCCAGACTTTGTATGCAAAATTCATTATATGGGTCTACAGTAACTTAATCAAGTTTAAAAAAAGGAAAATTCATAGCTATGATTGCCTTTGCATAACTTGCTGCATTCTGAATACTGGGTGACTTAACAGGACTAATCAAATATGTAAGAATTGCAATATATATTTACTCAGCATACAAGTAAAAAAATTTTTTTGTAATTGCCATTACTTCAGACTCAAAATAGAGATCTGAAAGTCAAGCTATATTCTTTCTGGTTCATTCATCATCACCAGCAGTAGAGGTTCCACAGGAGAAATTTTGTCTTCACCTACTACCTGTACAATGCTACTAAAGACAGTGAGGTTCCACAGGTGTAAATAAAGCTGGAATGTGGCTCTGCAGTTGGAAGGGAGGCCATGATTCTGTAAAGACTGAAGCATGTGTGTAACTTTACACTTGTGAGTAGTCCCACCAAAGTCCGTGAGTTATATACGTACTTGAGTTTTTGCAGGATTTACTCACCTAAGCATGTGTTCAAGTGTTTGCAGGATGGAGCCTTAGTTAACAATTAGGACTGTCAATTAGTCACAGTTAACTCATATGATTAACTCAAAAAAATTAATCGCGATTAAAAAAATTAATCGCAGTTTTAATCGCACTGTTAATAGAATACCAATTGAAATTTATTAAATATTTTGGATGTTTTTCTACATTTTCATATATATTGTAGTCTGTGTTGTAATTGAAATCAAAGTGTATATTATTTTTATTACAAATATTTGCACTAAAAATGATAAAATAAATAGTATTTTTCAGTTCACCTCATTCAAGTACTGTAATGCAGTCTCTTTGTCGTGAAAGTGCAACTTACAAATGTAGATTTTTTTTTTACATAACTACACTCAAAAACAAAACAATGTAAAACTTCAGAGCCTACAAGTCCACCTAGACCTACTTCTTGTTCAGCCAATCGCTAAGAGAAACAAGTTTGTTTACATTTACAAGAGATAATGCTGCCCTCTTTTTATTTACAATTTCACCAGAAAGTGAGAACAGGCATTTGCATGGCACTTTTGTAGCTGGGCATTGCAAGTTTTTAACATGCCAGATATGCTAAACATTTGTATGCCCCTTCATGCTTCGGCCAGCAGACATGCTTCCATGCTGATGACTCTTGTTAAAAAAAAATGCGTTAATTAAATTTGTGACTGAACGCCTTGGGTGAGAATTGTATGTCCCCTGCTGTTTTACCCTCATTCTGTCATATATTTCATGTTATAGCAGTCTCGGATGATGACCCAGCACGTGTTGTTCATTTTGAGAACACTTTCACTGCAGATTTCACAAAACGCAAAGAAAGTACCAATGTGAGATTTCTAAAGTTAGCTACAGCACTTGATCCAAGGTTTAAGAATCTGAAGTGCCTTCCAAAATCTGAGAGGGACAAGGTGTGGTGCATGCTTTCAGAAGTCTTAAAAGAGCAACACTCCAATGAGGAAAATACAGTATCCGAACCACCAAAAAAGAAAATCAACCTTCTGCTGGTGGCATCTGACGCAGATAATGAAAATGAACATGCATCGGTCCGCACTGCTTTGGATTGTTATCGAGCAGAACCAGTCATCAGCATGGACAGATGTTCCCTGGAATGGTGGTTGAAGCATGAAGGGACATACGAATCTTTAGCGCATCTGACATATAAATATCTTGCAACGCCGGCTACAACAGTGCCATGAGAACACTTGTTCTCACTTTCAGGTGACATTGTAAACAAGAAGCAGGCAGCGCTATCTCCTGCAAATTGTAACCAAACTTGTTTGTCTGAGCGATTGGCTGAACAAGAAGTAGGACTGAGTGGACTTGTAGGCTCTAAAGTTTTACATTGTTTTATTTTTGAATATGTGTGGGTTTTTTTGTTTGTTTGTTTGTTTTTTAACATAATTCTACATTTGTAAGTCCAGATTTCATGATTAAGCGATTGCATTACAGTACTTGTATTAGGTTAATTGAAAAATTCTATTTCTTTTGTTTTTTACAGTGAAAATATTTGTAATAAAAAATAAATATAAAGTGAGCACTGTACACTTTGTATTCTGTGTTGTAATTGAAATCAATATATTTGAAAATGTAGAAAATATCACAAAATATTTGAATAAATTGTATTTTTTATTATTTAACAATGCGATTAATCGCGCTATTAATCTCTAATTTTTTAATTGCACGATTAATTGTGATTATTTCTTTTAATCACTTGACAGCCCTATTAACAATGCTGTTTTTGATGTGTGAACCAGAATATAATCCAGCACAGTCTTCTCTAGCCGTGTTGGCTCTGAAAGGGTAACAGAAGTAAAAGGCAATATTACAATTTTGTTCAAGCACTAGAGCAGGGGTGGCCAAACTGTGGCTCCTGAGCAACAAGTGGCTCTTTTATAAAGTGCAGCTCATGGATCCCTCCACACTTTCTGCCCTCCCATTCTGTGCTTTCCAGACTCTGTGGGAGAGCTCAGGGCTTCTGCCCTGTGTTGGGGTAGAAGCTTCTGGTACCTACTGAGTGGGGGGGAGGGAGTCACACCCACCAAGCACACTACCCCTCTTACCTCAGCACCCCCTCCCTGCAGCTCACAGGTGTTAGCTCCTCATGGAGAGGCAGCAGCAAGCAGTTGGGAGCTGCAGGGAGGGGCTGCTGCTTTAGCTCCGCAGGGAGAGGCAGCAGCAAAAAATAGTGGCTCTTTCTGCAGCTCCCAGCTGTTTGCCACTGCCTCTCCCCACAAGCCGCAGGGCTCCAGCAGCTGCCGTGCAGGGAGGGGGCTCTGTGGCACCATGTGACCAAGCGGGGCCTGCAAACCCTGGCAAAAATGGAGAGTGGGACATAACCCCATGTGCCCTCCCATGCGTCACCTCTGGCTTCTGCCAAGCGGGAAGGGGAGTCTCAGGGCTTCAGTCCTATGCAGCGTGCCTGCCTGGACTCAGGGCTGAATCCCCAAGACCTCCCTTCCTGTAATGCTGAAGCCCTGAGCTTGGACAGGCACATCCTGGCTCTTAAACTTCTGAAGATTGTCGTATGCGGCTCAGTAAGTTTGGCCACCCGTGCACTAGAGTAAGCAGATATGATTTTTGTATACAGTTGGAGTAGATCTGTTAAGTAAAAAGAAGCCAGATGAAATCCTGGCCCCATTGATTTCAGTGGAGTTTTGCCATTGACTGCAGTGGGACAGGATTTTTGATCACTATTTTCACATAGCCGTTTGTCTGTAGCAACACTTCCTTTTTTTTTTTTCAAGGACAAAATTAAACATTTTAACTTTAAATGTACATCTGGTAGCTGTAATAAAAGTTAGGGAATTATTTGAACAACACTAATTATATCCTCATTCTGTTTTAGAGACTTCGGCGAAAAAGGCAGTAAAATACGTTTTCAGTGATCTGTCGACCAAACTGTCTTCAAATGTGCTGGTATTAAGAATTTGCCATAGTTCAGTGTATGTATGGCCTAACAGTAGTATGAACACAGTTCCATCAGAACTGACTGATAATTCTGTTTGTAAGGAGATAATACGATTTATTCAGTGAGTATATTTGAAACCAATGGGTACATCATACTTTTTGTAATAGATTAATTTCATATTATTAATTTCTCTCTGCTAATATTGCAGATTTGACCAAGAAGATGAGACCAAAAGAAAACTTACAAAAAAGAAGGATAAAAAGTTCCAAGATACGGTATATATTCCATTCATATTAACAGCTTATAACAAGCAAATGCTCTTTTCTCACAAGCTGATCCACACAGGCAAACCTTTCCATCCACAGAGAACGCCATTGAAGTCAATTGTGCTCTACATGAATGCAAAGATCCACCTGCACAGATGAGCATGCAGAAGCAGGCCTATAGTCTTTAATACTGTTAGATATCTTAGCTAGTTATTTGTTTCTGGCCCCTGACATTGTTCAAAAATGCATCTTCCTTTCATCTGTCTCTTATTACATCTAATTGTGGGCCTGTTTTGTTTTGGGGTTCTTAACTTTTGCTGTCTCTGGAGCCCCTTCACCTTCATGGGTCTTATGAATCTACTTTTTTCTTCCATCCCTTCTTGGTGCATGTATTGTTGGACATGTATTATTGGTGCATGTAACTGTCTTTATTCTTTTCAGAAGCAGATAGTAAATGTAGACCTTATGTTGGAAATGACATCTCCTTTGGCAGCTGTAGCCCCAGTCATTGAAAGGGAAAACAAGAGACACCACTACGTTAACATGACCTTACCAATTGATGTTGTTGTATCTGTTTCTCCAGAAGAGCCATGGAGGAAGTAAGTATAATATATCTTTGAGTTGTATTTTTGAGTTTGCTTTAGTTTGTTCTTTGTCTTTGCTTTCTAAATAAAATTGTGGATACTAAAGCTACATCAGCTTATAATTTAGCAATTTTCAATATAGGTGCGATATGGAATAAAATTGAAATCTTTTCAGAGTGTTTGAAAGCCCTCACAATAGATATTCCTTGATTTAATGAGTGTGATCTTGTGACAATCCCATTATCTATAATGAATTCAAAGTTTATGATTAAGGCTAAGATTTAGTCACGGGTATTTTTAGTAAAAGTCATGGTGGACAGGTCACAGGCAATAAACAATAATTCACGGCCCGTGACCTGTCCATGACTTTACTATAAATACCCATGATAACTAAATCTCTGCTCCTGGGGTCCCACTGCTCTGGGGGCCCCCTGCTCCAGCAGTGGGGGCTGACTGCCCCAAGTGGCCCACTACTCCAAGGCCCCCGGGGACCACTCTCCTGAGGGCCTCCGGGGAAGCTGCTCCGGCCGCCCCTGGGACCGCTGCTTCTTGGGTGGTCCCTGGGGTCGCCCCCAGGACCAATGCTCGGGCAGTCCTTGGGGCCAGCCACACAGGCCACTGCTTAGGCAGTCCCCAGGGCCAGCTGCCCAGGGCCACACAAGCAGCAGCCAGTGCGGCCGGCCCTGGGGACCACCCAAGTGGCTAGCCCCATTGCAGCTGGCCCTGGGGTAGCACCCAGCACTGCTGCTTGGGCGATCCTTGGGGCCAACTGCCCAGGGCCGCCTGAGCAGAAACTGGTGTGGCTGACTCTGCGGCTGCTCCAGCAGTGGCCAATGTGGCTGGCCACAGGGCGCCTGAGCAGCTGGCCCCAGGGTCAGCCACACCGGCTGCTCCAGCTGCAGAAGTCATGGAGGTCACAGAAAGTCATGGAATCCATGACTTCCATGACCTCCATGACAGAATTGCAGCCTTATTTATAATGGATTAATATAACAGTATCCAATTTCTGTGTTGAAGTGGTAGTGGTATATTTACATTTAATTTCACATATAGGGTTTTATTATCACCTAGTATTATGTGATTTATTGTTCATTAGGGTTTTTGGAGCTAATTGGTGTTTAACATAATGTCTGATAATTATGCCAATTCTTTGTCACTCAAAAAAAATGCAGATTGCTAGGAAAATATTCAAAAGATACTATGCCAGATTCTTTTAATTACAGTAAATACACACAGATACGTGTGTGAGAGAGAGGGGAATGTTTGATAAATGCTTGTTGTCTCAGTACTGCGCTTAGGAAGTCACACATGCACCTGGACAGGCTGAGGTGGAAAACAATACAGAAGTGGTATCCACAGCACTCTTTCCTTGGAGCTTCATCCTGTAAGGTGCTGAATACAATGGTTGCAATCCAGAAAAGCACTTAGGCACATGCCTAACTTTATGCACATGAGTACTTCCAGTTCAGCTTGGGTGATTTGCTGAATTGAGGCCAAAATATGCAATACTTTCTAGGGTTGAGTCATTGGAGTGTAGCATCTTTGTACATAGGAGTTGTGAGCAACACCTGACAAGGCTCTGCTCACATCTGCTGGTATGGGCTGAAGGAGGGATAAGAGCAGCAGATGCATTAAACTGGTTGTGGAGGTGGGTATAGCTTTGAGAATGAGCCAGCATTGCTGGTGTTCTAGTTCGTAAATATTTTCCCTTATATCTCATAGTGTACGAAATCTCCTGGTGAATGCAATTCATAAGCAACTAACTGATATGGAAAGATGCATTTTGAAATATATGAAGGGAACATCTATTGTGGTACCTGAACAATTTCACTTCATGCTACCAGGAAAAAAGCACCTTGTAACAATTTCATATCCTACAGGCATTTTAGAGAATCATCTAGAGACTTACAGAAAGGTAAAGTTGGCTGCTGTAGACCAAATATTGACAGATCATGATTTGTAATTATGACCGAAACATATATATATATTTGGTTTATTGAAACACATTTTTAATGTGTTCATCGGGCACTTTTCTTCATAAACAGAAGTTTATGGTTATTTGTATAAGAGAACCTATGTGGATTTGTGATAACTGAAGCGGTGGGGGAGCTCCCTTATGGACACCCAGCCAGCCAGGTAGCTGTAAAATCCCTCTTGGTGTCTGTTCTCTGCTTGCTTTACCTGTAAAGGGTTAACAAGCCCAAAGGTAAAAGAAAAGGAGTGGGCACCTGACCAAAAGAGCCAATGGGAAGGTAGAACTTTTTAAAATTGTGAAAGAAACTTTTCCTTTGTCTATTGTTCTCAGGGCCGGCTTTAGCAAGTGCGGGGCCTGATTCCTGGGGCTTGTACTCACCGAGCGGCGCTTCCAGTCTTCGGCGGCACTTCGGATTGCCAGCCGGGGGAGCAGGGTCACGGGGCAGCTGTGCTCTGGCCGGGGTCACGGGAACATGGGGCTGCCACGTTCTGGCCAGAGCTCCAGCCGGGAGAGCGGGGCCGCGAGGCTTGCCGTGCTCCAGCCGGGGTCATGGGGCCGCAGCACTCCGGCCAGGGTTGCAGGGTTGTGGGGCGGCCGGGGTTGCGGGGCTGCAGCACTCCGGCCAGGGTTGCAGGGCCGCAGGGCTGTCGTGCTCCAGCCGGAGCTCCAGCAGGGAGAGCGGGGCCGTGGGGCTTGCGGCGCTCCGGACGGCGCTCTGGCCAGGGGAGCGGGGCCTCTGAAGATTTAAATTTAAAATTTAAAAAAATTTAAAAGGCGCCTAAGGCGCGTGGCCCTCTTAGGCGCAGGGCCCGATTCCGGGGAATCGGGCGAATCAGCCTAAAGCCGGCTCTGATTGTTCTCTGTGCTGGAGGAACATGGGGCAGCAATGCTATAGCAGGAATGCTGTGTAAGGTTTGAATCAGGTATGAAAATTCTTCCATACCTAGAAGAAATTATTTGGATAGGGAATGTTTAGACAGACACAATCAGGTTTATTTTTTATTTTGGCTTGTGGATCTCCTCTGTGCTAACCCCTGATGCTTTTGTTTGCTTGTAACCTTTAAGCTGAACCCCCCTCAAGAAAGCTATTTTGGGTGCTTAATTTTTGGAATTGCTCTTTTAAAATCTAGCAAAAGCCTAAGTTCCTTTTTTAAGAACAGGATTGGATTTTTGGTGTCCTCAGAGGTTTGTGCATGTTTGATTAGCTGGTAGCACAGCTAATTTCCTTTTAGACTAAAATTTGTTAGTCTCTAAGGTGCCACAAGTACTCCTGTTCTTTTTGCGGATACAGACTAACACGGCTGCTACTCTGAAACCTAATTTCCTTTGTTTTCTTTCTGAGCTCTTCCCCCGGGTGGAGGTGGGAGGTGAAAGGGCCTGAGGGTACCCCACAGGGAGGAATTCCCAAGTGTTCCTTTCTGGGTCCAAGGGTTTTTTTTTTTTCCCCTTTGGATGGTGGCAGCATTTACCAAGCCAAGGTCAGAGAAAAGCTGTAACCTTGGAAGTTTAATAAAAGCCTGGAGTGGCACGTATTAATTTTGAGAATCCTTGCAGGCCCATACCTTCTGCAGTCAAAGTGACAGAGTGGGGAATTCAGCCTTGATAGATTTATACAGGAATTCATTAATTAAAATAGTGAGGATCTCCATGAACATGTGCTTGTATAAGGATTGTTCAGTTTTCTCTGTTTAATTGTGTTTTCACTCAGTTGCCAGATGGTGTTTAAGATTTTTTTTTTTTTAAATAGAATTTGCTCAAAATGTGAGCTCATTTAATACAAGCCTGGAGTGGTACATATTAATTTTGAGAATCCTTGCAGGCACTCAAAGTGAGAGAGTGGGGAATTTTCTTTAATTTATAACATAGTCAGATAGACAAATTGTTTCATATTTCTTTATTCTCAGTACTATTTAACATTGTATATTATTTTCATAAAATTAATCTCTTTTTGATTGAACTTTTTGCCATACATCTATTTGTAATTGAGGCCCCAGTCCTGCAAAGAGTCTTGTTTCTTGCTGAGTACAGTTCACTGATGCTGAGTCCCATTCACTTCAATGAGTCTTTGCAGTACTGGCGTGTTAGTGTTAAACACATACATTCAATATTGATTATTCTAGAGGTTTTAGTATGTGACAGTTTCTAACCTGCTATATTAAAAACAATATTGGTTATGAAAACTTAACTACCATTTGGAGTAATTTTTTTAAAGAAACTTGAATTATTCTCTTGTTCGTTATCCCTTCATTTTGATTCTGACTTGCCATGTAGGAATTACATGAACTGTTCCATCTGCCCTCCGATAGACCATATTTAAGAAGAGCGAATGCTTATCGCTTTCCAGATGAACCGTATAAAGATGGATATCTCAGAAATCCACACACCTATCTCAATCCACCTGGCATAGAGGCTGGTATGGTAAGTTTCACCTGTGGCATTTATAGGAAAATGCTTCTTATTTTACATAAATCTTGTTGATAATCATAAATCTGGTGTCATAGCCAATGCTACATTTCCATTTCATGTAGTCACCATGGTAGTCTTTTTACTTGACTAAAATTTCTGAGTGTACGTGAGACACATACTGAAAACTAAAACTGAATAAGGTAGGGAAATTAATCCAGGCTCTCATTCTTTGCCCACCCTTTCTAGAGATGCTGTCATCTCTAGATAGGTTGACAAGTTTCACAAGTTGGAACCTGGAAGCTCAGTTTGTTTTCAGTCATAGTAAGGAGAAATTCATTTTATTTTTAAAATATTTGGAAAATGTGGACTTAACTGCAGTGAACTAAAGCTATAGACAAACACTTCAATGTGAGTGTACCCTTACAAGCCATTTTGACAGCTACAGCTGAACCACAACAGTCAAAGGATTTGATCTTCAAGAGTCTCTGCCAACATTCTCAAACTAGGGTCTACAAAATGAAACACTTTGAGAACCAAGCATTGAAGAGAGTTTGTGAAACAGTCTGTCTCAGACAAAGTGGTCTGTAGAATGAAAAAGCTGGAAAACCTTTGGCCTTAGTCATGGATTCTCAGGATGGGGTCACAAATCTCATCTTTTCTCATACTGTTAAATGGAGATGGATCCCAGTTGGAGGGAAGTGGAGGTCCTAGGGTGATCCTGGTGTAGAAAAGAAGATCCCAAATATGGAAAAAGTTGAGAACTGCAGTTCTATTCTCATGCTTCATAATCTGCTCTATCCGCTAAGACCTTATAGCAACAATCTTAACTGAGGGATTATATTGCTGAGTGTCCTGTGATGACAGGTGAGAGTCTCAAGAATGGCACTGGTAATCTTCATGAATTATAATCTTGAGAGGAGTTTGTGGGGGGGACTGGAGGACTGTGGCTCTTTAATTCTCTTCCTTGTTTCACCCCTTATCTTTACTTAAATGTGTCATTAAAATCCTTCAGGGAAAGGCTCAAAACTGTCTTTTATTTCCATTGTATATTTTTGTTTAATGTCTGGTAGTAGAGAATGATGTGGGGTTTATTAGTGTCTTTAGATCTGCTCTGGCAAAATGTTAAGGTACAGTACTCTGTTTTTAATTCTATTATTGCTTTTATTATTAATTTTGGTGTGTGGATGGCACTTTACAGACATAAGACCAGGTCCTGGCCTCAGAGACTTTACAGTCTAAATAGATATTGCAAAAAATAATTGTATGAGATCTCAGGCAGTGAAGGGGAAGAGACAACATTAAAAGAAAGGGACTAAGTATTGCATTTACCTTTTCATTAAGGTGCTCGAGAGGCCTTGGAATAGGGATAAATAAAATTACTATAATGTATTATTGATAGTACAGATCTTGGTATTAGAATAAGAGTTTTCTAAAACTCTGTATCTCTGCAGCCGTGTCTGTTGCTCCCTCCTGCTTCTCTGCTGCTCCTGCTGCTATACTATGCTGCTTTGCCTGTAGAAACTGCTGTGAGCAGTACTGTAATACTAGGGAGAAGACAAAGGATTAAAAGCAGCAAGAATAGCAGCTACCAGGAGGGGTCAGGAAAAAAAAGGCATGCCCCCTTGCAACTTCCTTGGGGATATACTATAGAGTTTTAAAATCTGTGCGGTGTACAGTAGTCCAGTATTGATACAGAATAACTCTGTCAGGTCAAATTTGCCCCAACCAGGCAAACTGGTTGAAACTATAGTAAAGAACTGAATTATCAGACCCATAGATTAACATGATTTGTTGGGGAAGAGTCAACATGGGGTTTTTGTAAAGGGAAATCATGCCTCACCAATCTACTAGAATTCTTTGAGGGGGTCAACAAGCATGTGAATAAGGGTGATCCAGTGGATATAGTGTACTTAGATTTTCAGAAAGCCTTTGACAAGGTCCTTCACCAAAGGCTCTTAAGCAAAGTAAGTTGTCATGGGATAAGAGGGAAGGTCCTATCATGGATCGATAACTGGTTAAAAGATAGGAAACAAAGGGTAAGAATAAATGGTCAGTTTTCAGAATGGAGAGAGGTAAATAGTGGGGTCATCCAGGGATCTGTACTGGGACCAGTGATATTCAACATATTTATAAATGATCTGGAAAAAGGGGTAAAGAGTGAGGTGGCAAAATTTGCAGATGATACAAAACTATTCAAGATAGTTAAGTCCAAAGCAGACTGTGAAGAGTTACAAAGGGAGCTCACAAAACTCGGTGACTGGGCAACAAAATGGCAGGTGAAAGTCAGTGTTGATAAATTCAAAGTAATGCACATTGGAAAACATAATCTCAACTAAACATAAAAAAATGGTGGGGTCTAAATTAGCTATCATCACTCAAGAAAGAGATCTTGGAGTCATTGTGGATAGTTCTCTGAAAACATCCACTCAATGTGCAGCGGCAGTCAAAAAACGTAACAGAATGTTGGGAATCATTAAGTGAGGGATCGATAATAAGCCATAAAATATCATATTGCTTCTGTGTAAATCGATGGTGCGCCCATATCTTGAATACTGCATGCAGATGTGGTCACCCTATCTCAAAAAAGATATATTGGAATTGGAAAAGGTTCAGAAAAGGGCAACAAAGTTTAGGGGTATGGAACAGCTTCCATACGAGGAGAAATTAATAAGACTGGGACTTTTTAGCTTAGAAAAGAAACTACTAAGGGGGGGATATGATAGAAGTCTATAAAATCATGACTGGTGTGGAGAAAGTAAATAAGGAAGTGTTATTTACTCCTCCTCATAACACAGCAACTAGGAGTCACCAAATGAAATTAATAGCAGCAGGTTTAAAACAAACAAAAGGAAGTATTTCTTCACACAACACAGAGTCAACCTGTGGAACTCTTTGCCAGAGGATGTTGTGAACGCCAAGGCTATAATAGGATTCAAAAAAGAACTAGATAAATTCATGGAGGATAGGTCCATCAGTGGCAATTAGCCAAGATGGGCAGGGATAGTGTTCCTAACCTCTGTTTGCCAGATGCTGGGAATGGCCGACAGGGGATGGATCACTTGATGATTACCTATTCTGTTCATTCCCTCTGAAGCACCTGTCATTCGCCACTGCGGGAAGACAGGATACTGGGCTAGATGGACCTTTGGTCTGACCCAGTATGGCCGTTCTTATATTTTTTGCAGATCTTTCATCTATTCCAATTTCTGTCAGCTCTATTTTACATATATATGTACATCTGACTATGTATTTACTTATAGCATGTTTTGTAACCAGATCGGACAAACATCTTTACTAATGTGGTCTGATAGCCATTCCTCTGCATGGGGCTAAACATTCGAGCAAGTGATCTAATTGGCTTAATAACTAGATGTTACTGTGACCTGTTAATTTAATTCACAATGATTCAATCAACGCTGCATTTGGCATCCATACTCTAGCTAGAGCATGATCCGAAATGTCTGTACCACCACTTCACTGGCCTCTAGGATTTGCTAAGTTTGAATTCATCCCCTAACGTGAGTCATCAATATGCCAAGTAAAACATTCTGACTGTGTTCCTGAATTTACAGAAAATTGCTTACAAGTCCAGTGATGACTGAATTGTAAAAATGCATTTTAAGGATTTCTCCCTTGTTCTTTAAAAAAAACAAACAAACCAAACCAAGTTATGTCTTGGGCATGGGGAAGCAAGAAGTCACACAGCTATTTCTCTCATGAATCATAATCAACTATTTGAAAACTAACATACCGCAAGTGTCAAAATTAAATAATGAATATTCAGCTTCTGAGACAACAGCTCCTGAGATAGAGGTGTTTGTTTGTTTTTTGTCTTTTCTTTTTCTGTTCAGGTCTATTTGGTACATGGTGTATATAGTTATCATCATTATATGCAGGATCGGATAGATGATAATGGCTGGGGATGTGCCTACCGGTCTCTGCAGACTATCTGTTCATGGTTCAAACATCAGGGTTACACAGAGAAATCTATACCTACACACAAGGAGATTCAACAGGTACAGGACAAAGAAACAGGTTGCATTTCATGTGTATTTACTGTCTTTCTCTAGAAAAATCAATTAATGCTATAGAACTGATTATTAAAAGTACTATTCCATTGTTTTTAACATGCTTTATGGAATAAACTCTTTTAAAAAAAAATCTAATTTATGTTTCTATTTTCTGATCCATTCATAGTTACTATTCACATTTATCTGTAAGACTTCAGAGTATCACTTTTAGAACATTTTGTTGTAATGGATTCTGTTTCCAGTTATGTACATTAAATGACTGGCATTAAAATAGTTTTCCCTTTCTTCAAAAGAGTTCCAGGAAATAAGATTTTTATAATAAGTTCTTTTGGTTGGTATTCTCTTGGAATCTCAATCATAACATAGCCAAAATACACACTCACAGTGTTTACCAAAAGGGAGAGATTTAAGGGCCCAATCCAATTCCATTAAAGTCAATTAAAAGATTCCCTTCTGACTTCAGGGGATTTGGATCAGGCCCCAGATTAATAAGGACTGATTTAGTCCTTTCTTATTTGGCAGACGTCATGTGTGCATGAGCGTAAGGGTATTTTTTCTCTTTGGAATGTTCCTGTAATGAACATTCTCTTCTTTGTGATAGGTATGCATGTGTGTCTTATATGTTCAGGTATGTTAGTACCATTGGAGAAACAATGCATGTTTGATTAGCGCATTCTGTACATCCAGCAGAAACTTTTATCTTTAGTGTCTTGTGAAAATAGTGTTTTGGGTTAATTTGTTTATTTAACAATTTTAGCAGAATAGTGATTTTGAAAGTGTTTAGACTACAATAATACTTAGCACTTATACTGGGCTTTCTATCTGAATCTTTATCAGATTATAAAAAGTAGAAGGTAGCTAAAATGTTGACTGTTAACCCACTTGAGAAGAATCAAGATATGTATATAATTTTCAGTATTTTATGTAAGAAATAGAATTTGAATAAAGTTACAGCGAATGTAAAATAAAAAATCACGAGTTGTAGATTAAATATACAGTTAAGATTTTTTAATCAAACTGTAATTGGCTATATGCACAGAATTTCTAATATATTATAAATACTCTCCTAACAGATATAAGCGTGTTGAAGGGAATTCCAGGAAAAGTGTGTTAAATGTAAACAAGAAGTTAGACCCAATATATAACTAGTATTTGTGTGAAATATTTGCCTGTAGTGCTATTCTAATTTTGCAAAATGTAAGAAAATAGTAATATTTCTTCTTGACCATTTTTTTCTTCAAGCTACATTTAGTGACATTTATTTCCCAGCTGGTATTTGAAAAAAGAAAATGTTTCTAACATAGACAGAAAAAACGTTACCATTTTTAAACAGGATCTTTTGTTTCATTAAATATTCAATCATACCTGCATTCAGTAAATATTTGCCTGCTTTTGACAAGTTACGTTCCAGAAATATTACAGTATATGTGAATTAAGTGGATATTATAGGTAGAAACTGTAAAAATGTCCATTACATACTGTTTCTTTTTTTCTTTATGGGATGTGTGTTACAAAGGCACTTGTTGATGTTGGAGACAAACCAGCTGCATTTGTTGGGTCGCAGCAGTGGATTGGCTCTGTTGAGGTACAACTTGTATTGAACCAGTTATTAGGAATAACTTCAAAAATACTGTTTGTCAGGTAAGAATTAATATTTGTTAGTTTTGTGTCTCAGTGATTAATTCTTTATTGCGGGAAAGTGTTGTGGTGAAGAATGGATCACTTAAGAGACTATTAGTAATAGGATATTAACCCCAATCCTGCAAGAACCTTCTGCAGGTGGCCCCTGCACCCAGCCCCACTGAAGTAAGGCACAGGCACAGGGGATCTGTCTGTGCAGAGGTCTTTGCAGGACTGGGTCTAAATTTTGTTGATAAATTATATAGTCAATTGCTTGACAGTACTCTGGTTCGTTATGAGATACTCAAGAGATCAAATAACCAGTGTCAGTCAGGTTTATTAATATGGTACAGGAAAAAGGGTCTATACGATACCAGTCTCTGAAGAGCAGTCCCATGCAGCAATGTTACGTTCACCTTACGCTAAGAGGGTGTTCTCCAAAGTTATGCCACTAAAGCCATCCTTTTATACCCTACATGTTTACCAGAAAATAATATCATATACGTCATTTAGTCAGCTTTTTGTCTTGTTTGTTCTGGTACCATGGTGTGCCCAATGTGTTCCAGGTTATGATGCACTCTTATCTTTGTTTTGAGTGCATTCCAGGTACTAAGGGGGAGGAAGGCACTTAATGGACTTGTGTGGGCAGCTCTTTTCCTGTTGTTATAAAGAAATAATTATCCCTCCTGATACTTTAGAGTTTTCCTATCTATTCAATCCAAGGCTTATGTCAGCTAATGCAAGCTGTTATGGGATACTTAGCATAAGTGTTCAGGATTATAACAAGGGTGCAGGCTTTAACAATTACAGGATTACAACAATCTAGGCTATATAGTTGCTATAGTAATATGTAATATGTATACTTAAATGTTTAAAATATATGTATTGCAGGTGGTTATAATCAGCATAATGAATATGTTTGGTAGCCAGTGTATGTTAGTCAACAGTTTGTAATGACTGCAAATTGGTCAATGGCATGTGCAAATGGAGTTGGTAGCCTGAGTTCAGTGCCCAGGGTATAAGTGCTCATGCACCAAATGCAGGGCCAGCTTTAGGCCGATTCGGCTGAATTGGGCCCCGCGCCTAAGAGGGCCCCGCAGCTGTCCACTCCGCCCCCAGCTCACTTCCCCCTCCTACCCTCCCCTGAATGCTCCGCCCCCTGTTCCTCCCCCTCCCCTGCTTCCCGCGATTCAGATGTTCACGGGAAGTCTGAAAAGAAGCAGGGGCAGGCGGCGGCAGCAACAGGTAAGCTGGGGGGGGGGCGCGAGGAGGGCTCCGTGGGAGGCGCGGCGCGGCCCAGTCCGGCCCCGG